TCTTTCCTTTCTATCATTTATTTGTTTTGGTTTTGTTTTTTGAGATAAGGTCTCACTGTGTAACCCAGGCTGGCCTCAAACTCGAGGTCGTCCTGCCTCCTGAGTGCTGGGGTTACAGGAGTGCACCACCATGCCCAGCTCTACCATTTATTTTCGTCTATTCTACCTCATTTCTCTGCTCCTGAGTTGAGGGATGGACCCTTTGGAATTGTGCTCTTCTGGGTTACCTGGGGTTCTAGGCCCTGCGGGACCTAGCCTGCTTAATTTGCCAGCTACAGGGCTATCAAGCCTCCACCCCAGCATGAGTCACTTTCCTGGTAGCCTTAGTCCTCACCTCCAAGCGCCTGAGTTCTAGCTCAGGTGAGGCTGGGTCATCCTCACCGTGACCTCTGCTTACCTGCCCTTGGCCCTGCCCATTAATTGGCTCCACTGAGGCTGCAGTGTGGAAAGAGAGCTGCAGAGAGCTGCAGGTGCTGTGTGCATGGGGAGGTGTTTGCCTGTGGGCTGGGAGGAGTCCTCACTTGGTAGTGGAGCTGAGGGTTCTTGCCCTCTAGTCCTAGCTGGGTCCAGAATCAATGTCTAATTCTCATGCTAGTGTGTTCAGGCCTCAGGTGGGAGTCACAGAATGTTCACTGATCAGGAGGCTCTGGGTACACAAGGGACTCTGCTTAGAATTGTGCTTTGAACCCTGCATGAGCTGTTTTCTCCAGTTCTATATGGGTTGTCTCACCCACTTGTTAAGTGCTGATGTTCTCTGGAGGCCAGTCCACGGCCTGGCACCTGCCTGGAGTCCTCCAACTTGTACTCCTGTACAGTACCTTCCTACTAGCTCCTGGGTGGCTGCCCTGCAACCCTTTATGGGCTGGATCTGGGGTCTGGAGCTGGAATTCTTAGGGACCAGGAAGGTGGGGCTCTGGGTGCTTTTGTTTCATTGAAAAGATTCATTTTTAAATCAAGGGGACTCCTGGAAGTGGGAGGCAGAAATCTAAGGTCAGGGAATGCTGCCCAGGTGCTGACCAAGTCAGGCACTTAGCCAGTGTGCAGGGAGTATGCTCTGGGGAGGGATGGTGGCCAAAACAAAACAAAAGAGACGGGCTGCTGCATGGGGCTTCCTCAGGGTGGGGTGGCAATGAATGATCACTGGGTTTCCCTTTGGGAAATGCCCACCAGGGTTGTCAATCTCAAATGGCCCTAGGAATTTGAGGGTGACATTGCAGAAAGATACGTGTGAGGGAGCAGGACCGGGTCAACATGGGCTGAACTACTTCAAGCAAGGGAGAGGCATGGAGCTGCCCAGCCTCAAACGTCTTGGAGACGGGCAGGGACAGATCAGAGGCAGACAAGCGTGGGCCTGGCAGATAAACCACAAGGAAAGGTCGTCTCCTTGCCACAAGCCCCACTATGAATCTGCCTGTGCCTGAGTGTCAGTCCCTGGACCCCTGCACTGGAGACCCCACCCCAGCTGAGTCCTAGAGGAAAAGACCCCTCTTGGCATTCTGTGCTTATATATACTTTTTGATTTATTCCCCTCAAGGCATAAGCCAGGGTAGAGTGGACCCATCCCTTTTCTACTACAAATTTGTACTTTAGCATTATAGTAGCTGGCTGAATGTCTCAGTACCTTTCTCTGAAGGATGCAGGAAGCAATCTATGTTTACTCACTTGGTATGACAAACAGCAAGGAGTGCACATGTGCAAAAGTGTCAAGGATTGGGATGCCTTTATGCTCCATCTAACTGGTTTTGGATATGTTTATCCTAGCATCACAGAGGGTCCAGTAGACCCACAACACTCCAGGATTTGTTTAAAATTTTTTTTCTTTTGATTTGTCTGGTAGAAGTAGCCCTATTGAGTACAATGACACATGAAAAACCAGATTTGCAAGTTTGAAGGTCAAAAGTGAATCATCGGATTACTCATGCATGGATGATGAAGATGATCCATTATGATAAAATGCATGTTTTCATAACAGAGGAGTGATATGAGTGGATGATGATGATGATGACAATGACTTTGACATTGGCCATATGAGCCAGAGTTCCTGTGACAGTGAAATGGAGCAAGAATCCAGTGATAACACACGCAGAGAATGCAGACCTTGATGAGGAAGAAAACACCAATGTGAGTACGTATTTGACTAGTTGAAATGTTGCAAAAATGGCCACACAACCAAATGGAACAACCCAAAAATTTAGCGAAGGCTTTGGCAGAGGTGAAACCTGCTAGAATGCCAGCAATACCTTTCAGTGTTGGAAAGTGTAACAGATGAAACGCTACAGGATGCTGTGAAATACACAAAGGCTGAAATGCAAGTAAAACCTTCTGTATGCACCAGTATGCATATTAAAAAATCTATTATGACACCTCACTAGCTGAACTGAAAGCACTCATAGCTCTGCTGTTTTTAGCATAGATTTCTCATGGTGATCTCAGGAATGTAAAAGACTTACGGAAAGCAATGGTCAAAATATGGCATGCCCTTGTAGATGCGAAGACTTATTATTCTTTCAATTTAGACATTTACTCAGGAACTCAGCCATCAGGTCCTCACTCATATAGTAATAAATTTAATGACGTGAACAGACTTGTTGCTCCCATCTCCCAAACTAATCAGAATGTGATGCTGGACAGCTGGTTTACCAGTTTCCAGTTGATGTTACATTTGCTAATAGAGCACAAGTTGACCAGTGTGGGAACTGTACACAGGAACAAAGCAGAAATGCCAAATGAAATGTTGCAATTTCAGAACAGAGAATTATATAATACAATCTTTAAATTTCAGAAAGATATAACATTGGCCTCCTACATGGCAAAGAAAAGCAAACTGGTACTGCTGATGTCAATACTTCACCATGATGGAAATATTGACAGGGAAACCACGATAAAACAGAAACCTGAGATGGAAACTTTCAACAACAAAACCAAACATGGAGTAGATGTTGTTGATGAGTTGTGCAGCAACTATAATGTCCCTTGAAACATAAAGCATTGGCCAATGGTTGTGTCTTACTCAGTTCTAAACGTGTAGCATAAATAGTTTGATAGTTTACAAAGAAAATAACAAGTAGAGAATATCACGAACAAATTTTCTTAGAGGATTGAGACTGGAGCTCATAAGAGATCTTTTATAGCAGAGGAAAAATAAAATGTTTCTAACCAGGGAACTATGCAAAACAATTGTGGAGCACACTGGTGAGCTGACAGGTGAAGAGGCAGGCATACCATCACAAAGACCTACTATGACAACACAGAAAAACAAGATGTTAACTGTGCCCTATAAGAAAGGACAGGAAAGCAAAACATACGTACTGTCAGTATTTGTGTATGGGACATGCAGTTGTTATATGTGAAGACTGCTTTAGGTGTGACATCTGAAGCAAAGCTTATTTTTGTGGTAGAATTCTATTGATACTTTCATTGTAGTTCAATTTATTTCTGATGTTATCTTTTAGGTTTCGTGAGGAAGTACATAGCTGATATGAAAATGTTGATGTCTATTCTAAACACACAATACATACTAAGAATTTAAGGCCACGTGTGGTGGCTCATGCCCAGCTCTGTGGTGACAGTAATCTCAGCACTCAAGAGGCTGAGGCAGGAGTATCACTGCGAATTTGTGGACAGCCTGGGCTACAAAGTGAGTTCAACGCCAGCCTGAACTGCATGCTAAAACTCTGTCTGAAAAAGACAACAACAAAAAAAGAATTTAATAATTTATTTTATCAATATTTTATATTCCTGTTAACTACACACTGTATTATATAAGAACCTCCTGACAAAATAGCAAAACCACTGAGATGTGAAGTATGTCCTACAAAAAGCCCAGGAAAGCAAAACACATGTGCTGTCAGTGTAAGCAGTCCATGTGTAGGGAACATGCTATTGTCATTTGTGCAGACTGCCTTATATGTGATAATTGAAGTGAAGATTTTGTGTGTGTGTGGAGTGCTATGGGTATTTTCGTTGTAGTTCAGATGGGAACTTATATCTGATGTTCTTGTTTAGACTTTGTACACCAAAAACCAGTGGATGTTGAAAGTTTTGATGCTTTTTTATAAACAATATTAAAACTCAATACTTTTGTGATTTTTTTTTCCTGTTAAGTAATCATTGTTTATTTTATTTTATTTTTTTTGGTTTTTCTCCGGTACCAGGAACCGAACTCACGACCTTGCGCTTGCCAGGCAGGCGCTTTGCTGCTGAGCTAAATCCCCAGCCCAGTAATCATTGTTTAATAAAACTGATAAAATTGAAATTAATAAAAAATTGAAATTAATAATTCACTAGTAGAAATATTCTAAAGAATAAATGCACCAAGTGTGGTGGCTCATGTCTGTAATCCCAGCACTTGAGAGGCTGAGCCAGGATGATCACTATGAGTTCAAGGGCAACCTGAACTGCAGAGTGAAACCCAGTCTCAAAAAAGACAAAAAATAAAGCTGGGCATGGTGATGCATGCCTATAATCCCAGCATTTGGGAGGCTAAGGCAGGAGGGTTGCTGTGAGTTTGAGGTCAGCCTGAACTGCATAGTGAAACCCTGTCTCAAAAAGACTAAATAAATAAATAAATAAGACAAAAATAAACAAAGAAACAAACAAACGTGGGTCTGACAGACCTACATTTATGCGCCTTGATGACATAATTAGTCTTATGCTCCAAGGGCTACACCCTTCGTTATAAAATGGAAGAAAGTGAATAGAACAGTCAAAGTAGTTTAATTGATGGGTTTTATTTGTCCCTTGCACCTGTGCCTTTTTCAGGTCCTACCTGCCTGCTTAGTTTAGATGGGCGCAACCTTCACACACTCAATGCCCTCTCTACTGCTAGGTGCTCAACTTCCCCACCTCAAGACTAGAGATAAAGGGGCTGGGGATTTAGCTCAGCGGCAAAGCACCTGCCTGGCAAGTGCAAGGTCGTGAGTTCAGTTCCCGGTACCGGAGAAAAACCAAAAAAAAAAAAAAAAAGACTAGAGATAAGATTCTTTTTAGCTGTGGCCAGCCTGGCTTCTATCCTTTGTTCTCGGGCAGCTGATGCTGGGGTTTGGCCCCCAGCTTGTGGACAGGCCAGTTGTCAGGCCTTGAGCCTGACCAGGTATTACATTTGCACTAGGCCCAGTAGTTGCCTTCTCTCTTCCTCTTGAGAGAATCAGAAGACCCATATGGGTTAGAGTTTGGGAGGCTGCAGCCATGAGTAACTGAAGATTTACTGTGCTGCTGCCAGTTGACATCTGGCTGCAAGACGCCATTGATGACATCCTTGCACTCACCGGAGAGGTATTTGGGGGCAGTGGGAGAAGTTAATGCAGTGCTCCTTCTGCATCACGCACAGCATCTTTTTGATGTTGGAGTCATCATAGGGCATCAGGCCCAAACCAAGATGCAGAGGATCACACCCAAGCTCCAGGTGTCATACACCCCAGGCTGGTATGAGATGACTTGCAACACATCAGGGACCGCATATGCTGCTGACCTACAGTAGCTCTCACTGAGGACAGTGTGCCGGCTCCCTTCCAAAAGGCAGCACTTGGGTCAGCCTAAGTTGGATAGCTTGGTGTTGAAGTCCTTGTCAAAGAAAAGATTCTTGCACTTGAGGTCTCTATAGATGACATCCACATCGCGGCAGTATCTGAAGGCCGAAGAGAGCCAGAAGAACAACTTGTGCGGCACATGGTCATGTGGGTTCCCTGGCACTTCGTGACCTTGAGGAGGCTGCCCAGGGTGCTGAGCTCCATGACAATGTCAATGTGTACATTAGAGGTTTCAAAAATCTCATAGGTCTTGATGATGGCCCAGTGGTGGATGGTTGCCAGATGTCCATCTCCTATGGAAGAATCATTACAAAACCGGTGAGTATCTTCTTTCAGTGAATGATCTTGACCACCACACTGAACTTCAGGTCCTCCGTGTAGGCAGACTTGACTTTTGTGTGGAAGCATTTGTCCAGATTGATTCCCATGAAGTAACCCTTCCTCCTTATGACTGCAGCATTGTCCATGCTGGCAGGAGTGGCTGACATCACCACTCTATATCCCCTCCCCATGTGGCCCAGCAAATGTTGTCCCCATTTCTACCATGGGGAGTCCTCTGGCTGGGCTAGACCTGGATTGAAGGGCTGCAATGCTCAACCTTGTGCCAAGATGACTTGAATGAATGCAATCATAAAGCCAGGCTCCTGGGAGTGGGAACTGGGCTGGGTGAATAGGGCCCTGGAAGCCAGTCTGACCTACAAGGAGCATACCCTTCCCTGCCCAGTAGAAGAATGTCATCATCCAAGACTAGTCATGCTTTCTGCTCCCTTTTCTTTCTCTTTTAGGTTTTCTTGGTACAGGTCTTACTATGTAGTGTAGCTGGCTTTGAACTCATTATGCAGCCCAGTCTGGCCTCAAGCTTGTGGTCCTTCTGCCCTTACCTCCTGATGATGTGTGTACCACCATGCCCAGCTGCTCCCCTTTCCTGTTGAGGCTTCCCTGCTAGAGTGAGGACTGGGTGGAGGCAGCCTAGACTCAGTAGTGTGCGAGCTCCTCCTCTTTCCTCACCTGGCCATGAGACCTAGCCTTACACTGATTGTTTTCTGCTCCACTAGGGTCAGTTTCCTGAAGCTTCTCTGGGATGATGTCCTTGGTGTCTGCTCAGGTTCAGGAAAACCAGTGGTGGTTTCAAGCCTGGTAGATAAAAGCAGCTCTGTGAGTTCTCCTGGACCTAGAGCCAGACAGATGAACTGTTGCCACTCTGGTGAATAGGGACATAGGAGGACAAGCAGCACTGAGGATGCCGCAAGTACCCAACTGGGTGGCTTAGGGACTAGGGAAGGCAGATGCATACTGGCCTAGGGATGGGGCAAGTATGGAGGATGGGTAGGGCTCTGACCAGATAGATAGAGTGGTAGAAAGAGCTTCTGAGGATGGCTGAGTAATACAAGTCAGGTCTTTTTTAAAAATCTAGATTATGGGCAGCCATTGCATAATTCAAGTCTCATTTTAAGGTGGCTACTGGCAAAAAGAGGATCATTAACTTGGGGCGAGTGTAAAGGCCAGTACCCTGGGCTAGATTTGAGGAGCCTGGGCCAGGGTAGGCCTCTGGGGGTCAGAGGGAGCCAGAGAAAGGCCAGCCAGGATCTGGTCGGTGAGTGGGCAAACCCTGTGGGAAGGCCTTGGTGTGTGTGTGTGTGTGGAGAGGCTGGGGGCTGGAAGCACTCTGAGCATTGCCTATGAAGAACAAGCTTCTGGGTGGAGAGAGGGAGCCAGAATCCTGCCACTTTGGACATTTGCGAGGGGTGGGCGGGGTTTGCCTGTTGGATCCTAGACTTGTACATCATTTGCATCTCAGCTAATTTTTGTGCCTGGTACATGGATTTTTTCTTGGAAAATGGCATTGTGTGTGCATCTCCTTAGCTACCTTGGAAGCCCTGATGTTTATTTTCTGTCTGTCACAGGAGTCTGTGCCCACAGAAAGCTACCAAGACAGGTGACCCCAGAGTGCTGTGTTCAGAGGGAGATTAGGAAGACCTGTTTGTATGTGGGGGTGGTGTGGGGTGGAAGGTGTGAGAGTTGTCAACTTCATTGGGCAGACAGATGCTTAAATTAGGAATGTACACTCCTGGGTGAGTCTGAGTGGTCAGGGGGGACAGTATCTGGTCACTGACCCCTTTCTTTCTGGTGCTCTTTCCTTGTGCTTCCTGGCTGCCATGAAGCTAACAGCTTTGCTCCAGCATCCCACCACTGTCCCCTGCCTTAGAGCCTGCCAGCCATGGATACAAATCTCTGAAATGATGAGCCAAAAATAAACTTCTCCTCCTTTAACTTGTGTCAGATATTCCATCACAGTAACAGGAAAACCAGTATGTATAGGTTTCAAAGAGGAAGTGTTGTAGGAGTCCAGGTGCAAAGTGTCAGTAGGGCTCTACCAGGTGGACAAGAACCATGTGTGTTAGTCAGACCCGATATCTTGGCCAGGGAAATGGCTGTGTGGACACACCTGGAGCCAGTAGGGTGTGCCCTGTGTCTGGCAGCCAGAGTCAAGCCGCCAGGCTGAGAGACAGGATGGGCAGGATGGACAGATGGGTCCATGGTGACTGCCTTCTAGTAGTACGCGAGCCTTGTGAGTTCCACCCTGTGTAGAGCACTGGTGGTTAATAGCTTTAACTCAATGTATTTCTTTCTCCTGAGAGCTTCTTTTAGTTGAAATGACCAGAACTTCCCTTCTTTGTGTCCCAGAAGGGGCTAAGATTTGCAAGCCAAGACCCAGGGTCATGACGTTTCCATCCTCTCGCAATCCCTTGTACCCAAAAATGCTCTATCTGGAGCATTCCCAGCTGACTCTACCAACTCATCCTCCCTCCTTTGTGGATTCTGCTGCCTTATACCCTGCCCTTGCCCAGGACAGTGTGGTCTCTGGTTTGTTAGGGACATACTGGAAGAGGCATGGCACGGGCAGAGTGGCTGGAGCATGGAGTGGGTGGCTTCATCTAGGATGTGCACACAGGGCTGGGACACCCAAGACATTTGAGGGAGGGGTGTTAGATGGGTTGGGGGAACCTCGAGGGTTCCTTCCAGTGTCGCAGTCCTGTGAGGGGTCTGGACACTCTGGGAAATCCACCGTCCTCTGAGTTTTGCTTTCCTCTTGAAAGTGGGTGCCATTGATCCATTTATTTCACAAGTATTTGATGATCTCTTCTAGGTGCTGAAGGGCTCTGTGAGCTAGTGTCAACAGTTCTACCCTTTCCTGCAGCCCAGAGGCCAGGGAGGCTCAGAGCCATAGCAGACAATGTGAGTGCACAATGAAGGCTGTGCTGGATCCAGGATTGTGGGGCTGGGAGGTCAGAGAATGGGGGCCAGAACTGAGGGAGACTGAGGAAAGCTGAGGTCTGAGGAAGCAGCCATGTGGAGGTTAATGCCCATGATGGCCTGAGGACCATGACTTGGTGGGGGCAGATCACAGGGGCCACTTTGAGATCCTGGTCTAAAGCCTATGAAGGTCACTGAAAGAGACTGAGCCAGAGTGGATATGAATTGTCCAGTAAGGTGGGGGCATCTGTGAAGAAGTGGACTTCAGTCACACGGGCCTGCTGCCCTGGGTGCGGTCTCAGGTGGGTCATCCTCCTTCTCTGTTTCCCATATGGAAAGCACACAGCAGGTGCTCCTGCTGCAGTCTTTCTGTCCAGGCTGACTTCTGGCTGAGCTGTAGCCAGTTGCCTCTGGTCCCTTTGCTGTCCTTTACCCTGAGGACCATGGCAGGCCTGTGAGAAAAGGAGGTGAAGCAACTCAGGAGCCTCCGAGCGCCTCCCTACCTAGCCAGCCCCATGTGCTATGGGTTCCCACTTCACCAAGGGTTTTTTAACGGGAAAAATAAGGGGCACCTATAGTGCTAGTTGGGCCTGTCCTGTGTCTGTACCATGTGCACTCACAGGCCTCCTAGGCAGAGCCCATAAGAGCAAGATGCAGTCAGTAGTCAGGACCTCCAGAAGGTGCTGTGGAGCCCAAGGCCCCAAGGCTGAGGCTGAGGAGGTAGCTAGCATCTTCAGGGGCGAGCCTACAAGCATGATTATGGCACATATGTGGGATGGGGATATAAGGAGAGGTCATCAGAAGGATGATCAACAGGAGGAGGGCAGGCCTGGGAAGTCCTCAGGGGCCGGTCCTTGGAGACCTTTCCGTGGAGGTGGGGCCAGGCTGGGTGTAGGAGGGGTGTCTGACCACTGTGGAAGCGATGAGAAGGGAGGAGCTCCCTTCCCGTGGTGGGGGGGTGAGGGAGGTGAGACTGTACGTTGGGAGGAGAGCAGGGAGGGCAGGTGTAGGGTTGTTGGACCCTACTTTTCCCAAGGGGTCTAAGGGTTTGCATCTTCCCAAGATGGAGGCTCGGGCCAAGGGTGGGGAGGTGAGTTGGAAGGCTCGCTTTGATGTCTATTAACCTTCAGGTTCCATTGAGCTTGCCAGAGTGAGATAAAGAGAAAGGGGCCACAGTGGCAAGGTGAGGACTCTGGGAGACGGCACAGGCAGGGCAGGCAGCACATGGAAGCCACTGGTACCAAATGCAGGCTACACCCACCATGGGACACTGCTGGCTGCCTTATCTACCCACAGGATCCAGACAGGCTTTGTGAAGATGCCTGTCCTACTTACCAGCTCAGCTTTCCAGGTCCAACAGGGACAGGCCCCTTGAGGACAGGCTGGGACTAGAGGGGAATGGCATATGGTCAAGGCCGTAAAGGACTGGGGAACATGCTGGGCCATCCAGCAGAGCTCTCACTTCCTGGCCACAGACTGATGACTCAGGGTACCTTTGACTCAGGGTGCTGGCTGGACATGGGGGGAACCCATGGTGCAGAGCAGGAAGAGATGCCCCTGCAGGTGGGGGAATGAAGAAGGACTGACAGGCCATCCTGCTTGCCCTTTGCAGTTTACCGCAACCCAGCCTTGTGCACCTGGATGCCCGAGCACAATGACAATATGGCTGCCCAGATCCTCAACTCCAAATGTGGGCACAGGCAACTCCGCTGCAGACACCACTCCAACTGCCCTCTGTGCACCCCCACTTTGCACTGGTGGACCTCCCTCTGGAAATATCATCCTTACTCTGCTCTCCGACTGATTACTCAGCTCTCTGCTCTGGCCCCCACCTCTCCAGGTATCCCCCAAACCCTGTCCCACATTTTGACTGTCCCAGCCTTTGACTGGTACAGATGCTTCCTCCAGTGCCTGAGCTCACAGTCTGAGATGGGGCCCCTGGGCTGTATTTTCTCATGAATGAGGATTTGCAATACAAGGGGGATGCCAGAGAGAGTCCAGCACTGCCGTCAGCTGGGTAAAGGCATTCATCCTGTGTGTCAATCTGTGCTTATTAGAGAAACAGATTTAACACAAGATATAGAAATGCACAAGAATTTACAAGATTAGCTTACAATGGCCACCCACAGCGCTGTCCGTGGGCTGGAGAGCCAAAGGACCCAGTCAAAGTCCTGGAGCTTACTGTAGTGTTCCATGCGAGTCCATACCAGGAGGCTGAAGGGTCTGCGATGTCCAAGGTGAAGATGAAGACTGGAACTCCTCTGAAGAAACAGAAGCAAGCCTTCCTTTTTCATTGTCCTTGTATTCCATTCAGGTGACAGCTATTGATTGGTGTCCCTCGACTCCCAGGGTGGGTCTTCTGTCTAAAGTAAATCCCTTCAGCCACACCCAGAACTATGCTGATCCAATCTAGTTGGGTGTTTCTTACTCAAATTGACATAATCAGTTAACTGTCACATCATGGGCTTTATGATTTATGTCTTTTTTTTTCATAGTACTGAAGATTGAACCCAGAGCCTTAACACTTAGGTACACCCCCAACTTTTTCTTTTCTTTTTTTTTTTTTTCTTTGCTTTCTTTTCTTTTCTTTGTGGGGGGTGACAGGGTTTCACGACGTCACTCAGACTGGCCTTAAACTATGTACCCCAGGCTGGCCTTGAACTTGGAGTAATTCTCCTGTCTCAGCCTTCCATGTGTTGGGATTACAGATATGTGCCACCATGCTTGGCTAAAGTTGTTTTTTTCTTTTTGCATTTGAGACAAGATTTTGCTATGTTGCTAAGTTGCACAGGCTAGGGTCAAACCTGTGATTCTCCTGCCTCAGCTTCCCAGAGTGCTGTGATTATAATCATGAGCAACCACACCTGGCTGATTTATTAGTTTTTTTTTTTTTTTTTTTGTATCAGGAATTGAACTCAGGACCTTGCGCTTGCCAGGCAGGCACTTATGCTGCTGAGCTATATCCCTGGCCCTTATTAGTTCTTCAGACATGTCAGTTATGGAATTCAAAGGGGAGGAGAAAAATGGGACAGAAACAGCACCTCAGGCTCAGGCTTCAAGCTATGAGCTCTTCTCCATTCCCTGCTGGCCCCTGGTTCACTGGATGTGCCTTTCTAGGATGCTGTATATATGTGGGGCTCCTGTATTTCCTGGGGCATCTGCTCAGTGTTGAAACACTGGGTGTCTGACTGTCTGCCTGGCCACTTGTACCATTTCCTCTGTAGGTTTTATCTGGGCTGTGCTTTGGGCCACACCTCTTCCCAATGTGCCAGCTTGGTGGCTAACTTCGAACTTCAACTCTTCTCCTTCCTCTTCCTCTTCCTCCTCCCTCTCCCCTCTCCCTCCCTTCTCCTTCTCCTTCTTCTTCTTCCTTTCCTCTTCATCCTCCCTCCCCCTCCCTCTCCTTCTCCTTCTTCTTCTTCTTCTTCCTCCTCTTCTTCCTCTTCTCCTTCTCTTCTCCTTCTTCATTTTTTGAGACAGAGTCTTGCTATCCTGGCCTCAAACTCACTGCAATCTCCAGAGTGCTGGGATTACATGTGTCACCACACCCAGCTGGTGATGGACTTCTTATCAGAGCCAGATTCTGAAGTTCAGGAGGCTTCTGTGCCCTGGGAATTCTCCCCCTTGGTGGTGGTTGTGGAGGACAAACTCTGTACCTTGGGCTACACTCAGTAGTGACTGCAGATCTCGTGGCTGTGCCAGTGCTGTAGACATTTGGCAGCTGTAGACAAGGTCCTTGCACACCCCGGGCAGGTGCTTGGAAGTTGGCATGTGCTCCCTTTCATGATACTGTGGTGGTTGTAGGGCATGAAGTCACAGACCATAATGTGAAAGATCGTGCCTAGGCTCCAAGTGTCAGACATTACAGGGGAAGTGCTGCATCACCTTGGGAGTGCTCCACAGAAGCACAGAAGGTGTTGCTCAATGTCAGCTGCTGTTGTCCTGCAGACCCAGCCTCCTGAGTGCTGGTATTACAGGCGTGTGCCACCATGCCCGGCCTTGAAACAATTTTATGTTTAACTCCTTGTTGAGCAAAATGTTTTTGCACCTGAGGTCTCAGTGGACCATGGTGGGATCACGGCATTAGTACTTGACACTGAGGAGAGCAGGTAGAACTTGAGAGAGCCATTCTTTGGCAGGGCTCCCTGGATTCTGAAAAGTTTGAGGAGGTTCTCCTCAACCCTGAGCTCCATAACACAGAACTTGCCCAGGGATGTCTCAAAGATCTCATAGGTGTTGATAATGGAGGAGCAGTTTAACCTTGTCTGAAGCTCAATTTCCCTTCAAAGGAATTTCTGTATGAATTTTGTGGGGGCTTTCTGGAGGTTGATGATTTTTGACTGCCACATTGAGCTCTGGGGATTCAGAACAAGCAGATGTGGCCACTGAGGATGAACCCTCAAGGAGAGCTGCACCACGCCAACCCCAAATTTGTCTCCATGAAGTAGCCTCAGCAGCAGCAGCAGCAGCCATAGTTTCAGGAGTACCTGGTGCCTCTGATGTTGCTTTCTACATCCCTGAGGGACTTGAGCCAGCAGCAACCTCAACTACATCAGGGCAGAGTCCTCTGGTTGACTGGGCTTGACTGATATGCCTACCTCTTAAGATGAAGGAATATTTAGCACTGTCTCCCAGATGACTTCAGTGGGTGAAGTCACAAAGGTGCACCCCACAGGAATAAGGCTCTGGCTCGAGCCACTTGGTCTTGGAACCCTGGAAGCTCTACTAGCAAGCTGGAGCAGACCAAAGGTCAGCAGAGAGGCCTTGTAGTTTGGCTGGGACCTGAGGCAGGTGGAGGCTGTGGAAGACATGAAAGTTTGTCATTATTTCCAAACCTGGAGTTAGGACTGTATGTGGAGTGGTGGGGTCGATGGTTGCAAATCAGGTAATCCCAGGGAATCTAGGGCAGGTGGCCCTACCAGTTAGGGTCCCAGCAGGAAACAGAAGGCACACCCCACCGGCCAGTGAGAGGGAAGACGTCATCTCTGATTGTTTTTCTCTCTCATCAGCTCTTTTTTTTTTTTTTTTGGTTTTTTTTTTTTTTTGGTTTTTCTCCGGTACCGGGAACCGAACTCACGACCTTGCGCTTGCCAGGCAGGCGCTTTTGCCGCTGAGCTAAATCCCCAGCCCCTCTCATCAGCTCTTGACACTGTCCACACAGGCAGCCTGCGGGGTTCCAGAGCAGGGCCAAGAAGGGTACAGGTGGGTCGGAGGAGCAGAGACTCCTGGTGCAGCCATCCCTGCAGCCATAAAGCCAGACGCTGCCCTCTTGCCGCGCGGTTAGGCTGGGCCTTTCTCCTCTGTGTACTTTTCTCTCCCCATCTGAACCTTTGCGGGCCTGCTTGTCTTACTGTGGGTCTGCAAGGGGACAACTGGCAGGAATTCTGCTCCTGGCTGAGCTCCCTCCTAGGGATCTGTGCAACCTGTAGCCCCGGCTTCACTTCCAGGGCAAACTGGAGCTGGGTGCAGAAGGCTGGGCCAGATGCCACGCCGAGTCCAGGCAGCTGTCCCTGGGAATCCTCCCTAAAACAGCACAAGCAGCCAGGACAGCACTGGACAGCAACCTCTTTAACATGCAGTTCGCTGGCCCCATCTGCGGTGTCAAGCTCCTTGTCTAGCACCTGCTGTGCCACATCCTGGGAGAGTAGGAGCCCCTGAGGGTCTGGCTTAAATTTGGGTTTAACCTTGGGCATATCTGTTTAGACAGTGTGAACTGTCCTCTTTCACCCTTGGGACTATCCTCCCTTATGAACCGAATCCTGAAACTCTTCACAGGATACTCTGGAGTGAGGGAACATGCGGGTGGGTCAGGCTAGGCTCCTTTTCACCTTCTTCCCAGCTCTGACCACCCACCACTTTGCTCATGAGCACGCATGGCTGGTGGTGCTTCTGGACAACTTACTTTTCCTGCTGCCGAGGACGCCATCTGTGTCTCTCCTTGGTCATCTGCTCAAGATGAAAGGTGTGAGATAAGCATTTAGAGCGTTGTTGTTAGCTTCATTTCTGCCCAGGGCTTCCCTCTAGGCAGATGTGGCCTCTCCTCCTCCCCCAGTGCTTCTGGCAGATCCTTCTTCCAGAGGAGGCAAGCCTCTCCTAAGATCTAGTCTTCCCTTTACTCCCTATGTGATACTCCCTTAGGCCATTTCCTCATCTTTTGAAACAATTTCACATTTGTGCGTCTGTGAAGCCGTACCTGCCTTTTCCTAACAGGGTGGACCCTCCTTCCTCATTCTAAAAACATCAGAACTCCCAGTTTTTGTGCTCCACAGCGGTTCGGCTTTTTGTTGAGGGGTGGGGGCCTACCTGAAATCGAACTCAGGACCTCATGCTTGCCAGGCAGGTGCTGTGCCACTGAGCTAAGTCCCCAGCTCCCCCTTTTTTTGAGACAAGGATTTCTCTGTGTCGTTCAGACTGGTCTTGAACGACACAGAGAAATCCTTGTCTCAAAATTTAAAAAAAAGAAAAAAACCCAGAAAAAGGAAAAACAAAAGACCACCGTTGAAGTTGGGACGGTCCTACGACATCTGCAATCCCCGGGTCTTGCTTCACGTTTCGGATTCCCTATCCCCCCGCCCCATGCTTGTGGTGCCTAAGGCAGACATCAAACCCTCTGATGCCCCCCTATGGCCCTCGCCGCACATCCGCACACTCCGGGACTTGGGCTGCTTGGGGGTCTCCCGCTCTGGCTTAGTCCCAGAGCCCCATCTCCTGCTTAGCCAATGGCACGCATCATTGTTTATCGTCCCGCCTTCCCTCTTCGGGCCCGCCCCTCAGCCTCTGTCCTCGTCTGTTCAGCCCTTAGGCCTCGCCCCTTTCGCGCCCTGCCATTCAGGCTCCACCCCCCGCTTAACAGATGGTCCGCACGCCGGGGGGAGCGGCTGGCCCCGCCCTCGCCTCAGCGCTCATTGGTCTGCGCTGGCGTCGCGGACTGTAGGCGGGACTGCAGGGGCCCAAGAAGGACGGCGGCCATCTTGCGCGGAGCCGGAGTCGGACTCTGAGACTGCGACCTGCGGCGCCCGGGAGCCCCTGTCCTTTCTCTTCTACGGTGTATCTTCGCCGCAGCCCCACGAGATCCTTGGTCCACCGCTTCTCTGCGCTCGGCCTCGGCCCGGCCCTCCGACCCTCTGCCCGGCCCGGTCAGGCCTCGCCACGGGGTCACGCGCGGCCGCCCTGAGGACGATGAACGGAGGATAAATGGTGCCTAAGGCAGACAGCGGTGCCTTCTTGCTGCTCTTTCTGCTCGTGCTCACCGTCACCGAGCCGCTGCGGCCAGGTGCGCGGCGCTGTGGGGCGCTGTGGGGGGCGCGGGCGCGGCCTGG